GGGATGCCTGAAGGAGAACAACCACTGGAAAAAAAAGGACAAGGCAGATCAATCCATGTAAGTGAATTTATTACTAACACTATTGGAAGATTAAAACTAAATCAGCAGCAAATTGATGAATTTGGAGAGTCAATTCCTCATGAAGCAAGAGTGATGATGAATCCAGGAAAAAATTTTGATGGATGGTGGAATGTTGAAAAATTAATTGATCAAGTAAGTAATCTTTTCTATTTAATTTTATTAAATAGAAATAGAAAGTTAAAACCATTTTTATTATAGATAATTAATTGTGCAATTCCAATATTTGAGGCCACTCGCCCAGATGCAGTTGCAGTTTTTGCTTTTGATAATTTTTCAAGTCATGCAAAAGTTGCAGACAATGCTTTAAATGTAAACAATATGAATTTGAATCCAGGTGGAAATGAAAAAAAACCTAAAATGCAAGATACAATCTTTGATGGAAAAATTCAAATAATGGATTTTCCTGATGGAAAACCCAAAGGAATAAAATTAATTTTAGAAGAGTGTGAATTATGGCCAAAAGAAGGGTTGAGATTAACTTTCAATAATAAGAATATTGAAGCAAACACAAGCTATCCAAATTGTTGTGCAAGACATAGATTAGGAGCACAACCAGATTTTATGGCTCAAGTACCTTTGATTCAAGAAATCATTGAAGCTCATGGTCACAAGGTGATATTTTATCCAAAATATCACTGTGAATTAAATTACATAGAGATGTATTGGGATGCAGCCAAGAGGTTTGCAAGAGAAAATTGTAACTATACCTGAGCGGTTTCTTTGACTTTGCTACTTATTATGGTCATGTGAGATATGCAGATCCACGTACAAAAGTTTTTTTATTTTTTGATTAACCTAGGAAAATACATAATATCATTATTGATATCCTTCCTCCCCCTTCTTGTTATCCTAATCACTATAACGATATTCATCATCATGACCATCATCATAATCATCAGCAGGATCCTCATAAACATAATCTTCATTAACAGGTTTCTCATCTGTAACTTCGTATTCCAAAAATCCCATAATCATGCATCTATCTAGCACGGGAATCGGTGATACTGCATCTATAGAATGTTGTTTATAATTGCTATAACTTAATAAGAAAGGTTTGGGACCCGACCACTTTTTACATAAAAATACAAGTGCGGTATCAGTTACATTAATGTTGTTTCCAAATTTGATACTTTTTAAATTTTTTGGTTGTGTTTCTATCAATGCGGTGACTATGTCATCAACAAAAATGACGATACCGCCAATTAATCTTAGATAGATTTTTTTTAAGCGTCTACAATTACTAAATATGTCGTTTAAGTAATAATGCAAATGATTTGCATAAAAAACTGTTAAATCCTCCAAGTTTCTACAACATTTTCCAATTGAAGAAAGAAGCAACAACAGATCATCATGATCACTTGGAGCCCCACCAATCTCCAGAGATTTGAGTCCATATCCATTGATATCAATAACGTAATAAAATGACAGCTAAATAAAGTAGCATCTAAATGATAAAAATAATAACTATTATTTGTTAATTTCTTCTCGAATTGATTATACTGATCTGTGAATGTTTTTTAGCCAGATAATTTTTTATTAGTTGAGCATCTAGGTCTTGACCTAGTATCGTTCTAATTAATATCAATCCAACATTCTCTTAGTTGGTCCACATACTTAAAATAAAAAAAGATAAAGATAAAAAAACAGTTTCTTTTATATTTACTTACGATGGTTTTTATTGGTCATTGACTTTTCCTTTAGGACAATGTTTTCTCTTTTCAGATGAGCAATCGTTCTTTCTCGAGATTTAAATAAGATAGTTTTTATCTCACAAAAAATAAGACATTTATTATGCTTCACTTTATTCGTTTCTATTGAATTTCCTCCATGTGAAGAAATTGTAACCCAGCAATAAATTATTATTAGAAGTCATGGATTAAAATTGCACCGAGTCCCTAAATTATAATATATAACATTGTTAATACAATTTTTTCTTTTAAAAGAAAATTATGATATAATCAATCAATTAATCAAATCAGATAAATTGCCAGTGGCATTTTTAATCTTTAACATGTTTAAGAAGACCGTCGTGAATTGTTATCATCATATATTATATAACAAAAAAAATAAAGCAAAACTTAAATTTATTACTCACTTGAAATTCTTGATGATGATAATAAATTATTCCCTCATTCATTATTATCTGTAAAAAAAATTTTTTGAACTGCAGATCGCAGATCATATAATTTGCCAAACCTTGATTTGTGATACGTGAGACAATTGCAAAAATTTCATAATAGAATTTGGCGCAAATTTTTCGCAGATTACTAATTGCCTAAAAACTACTACTTATACGAATCTTATAAAATAATAAGAATCCCAAAGTTTCAATATACAAAGTTTCAAAGGGACTTTCTTATAAAATATTTTATATTAATATGTAGGGACCGTTGGATTCTTAAAATTGCTATATAAAACTTAAGATTCAAGTATAATATTAAGTGGTATATCGTGTAACAATTAGAGATTTTTGTATATGAAATATATGAAATTTTTTTTAATGCTGTGATTTTTTATTTAAACCCAATCAGAATTAGATAATTTGGAATAAGATCGACAAAAATTTGGCAATGAAATAGTTGTTTTTGTGATCTGCAACAGCGTCTACTATGCTTGATAATACAAGTTTCCCTGATCGAAGTCGAAGGAAATATTTTTAATATTCCCTTAGATCTAGATCTGCCGAGAAGCCGAGAAACCGAGAAACACTTATTGTGTTTTGGTAGGTGGTGAGAATCTGAGAAACATTTATGTTTTGAGGTGCACGGGGCCGGTGCCAAGAAGCCGAAAAAACGCGTGCAATACACGTTTTGTAGGTGGTGAGAATCCGAAAAAGCATATTTCATAGGTTGACAAAGCCTAAGAAGTATGTTTTATAGGTGTATGGCTAAAGGGACTTGATTATCAACCGTACTCTTTTTGACCATTGTTGTGGACAAAGTTTGTTATACTTACTTTTCGTCTGTAAAGGTCAGTATGTGTGAAAATTTATTTTATAGACCATAAGTGCTTTTTTCAGTTTTGGATTTGGGCGAACTTTTATAACTGTCTCCGCAATTACAAAATTCTTAATTGGATTCCTGAACTGAGGATGTTTGAGGTAAGTTTTGCCATTGCATATAGTCGAGGTGAAGATTGTTTAACAGATTCTTATGTCACTATCATCTTGAAACAAATACCCTCTTCCATTAAATTTATTATAAACATGCAATTCTAGTATTTCTATATAGTTACGACTATTCATTTTTTCCATCTACTTTTATTAGTGGACCTAGCCCTTTTCCCGAAAAACGCCCCCATACCATTATGCCTCCGCCACCATGTTTCACTGTTGGGACAACATTTTCAATACTGTAGCTGGTGCCGCACATCATTTTGAGTTGAATTTTGGACATCGAGTATGTGATCATTTCTATAACTTTGGATACAAAAAAAAAAAAAGATTTTTAATCCGAGAAACCTTGGCTATGATGTAAAAATGCAGTATTTTTCTAAACAGGACGTTGGTTATGCCACCAGCATTACTTGGAGCAAGATTCTCGTTTAGAAATCAAAACACACCACCACACCATTACCAAGATCACGGCCCGCAGATGTTGTATGTGAAAAACCGCGTAACAAGATTGTTTAGAATTTCCAAATTTCGTATATACTCTTTTAATCAATACGACAATTAATTGTTTGATTCTGAATTTATAAAAAGAAACGTCCATTTACGAGGTTATCGCGAGAAAACAATTTACAAATTATTAAAAACATAAAAATCCAAGACAAGTTTACCAAATGTTTACTGATTTCTTTACTCATCGATTCTATGATTCCAAAATGCCAAAACTTGAAAATTTACACAAAGTTACAAGATTTCCTGAAATCATTATTAATACCAAATCATCCAATAATGTTGAAAGTTGTAAATAATATTACTGGGGAGATGGACGGTTCGATGAATTACCTTTCAGCTCATGACAGAGTCAATTATATAGAAGCCATAATAGAAATATCAATGTACTACTTGTTAGTAAAATTAATAAGGTTTTAAACATTTATCAAAAAAATCAAAAATTATCAAAAGATATTAACGATGATGAAAATAATAATTCACGTAAGAAAAATATGAATGTAAATTTGTTTATAGTATAGATGCATAAAGAACAAATGAACAATCATTTTGTTTATAATTTTATAATAGAATAGATAGTTCAAATAATAATAAAAAATATCTATTGTATATTCGCATACATTTTTTAGAAGGGGCATTTGCTGTATGGAAGAATTGGAAATTAAAAGACTTTTAGGTGAAAAGGATTCGGAAATATTTTGTTGACATTTTGGTGTAAAACCAAATGGTAATGTTGACCCAGCAAAAGATATTCAAGGTGAATTAAAAAATAAGGTAACAGTTTATCTATTTATTTGTTAATTTAACTGTCATTTCTTATCGGATTTTAATAATGTGATCTTATGGTGGTTGCAACGGCTTTAAAGATTTATAATTTATCTGTTAGTCGTTGGTTATGCCACCAGCATTACTTGGAGCAAGATTCTCGTTTGGAAATCAAAGCACGCCGCCACCATTACCAAGATCATGGCTCACAGATGTTGTATGTGAAAAATCGCGTAACAAGATTGTTTAGAATTTCCAAATTTCGTATATACTCTTTTAATCAATAGGACAATTAATTGTTTGATTCTGAATTTATAAAAAGAAACGTCCATTTACGAGGTTATCGCGAGAAAACAATTTACAAATTATTAAAAACATAAAAATCCAAGACAAGTTTACCAAATGTTTACTGATTTCTTTACTCATCGATTCTATGATTCCAAAATGCCAAAACTTGAAAATTTACACAAAGTTACAAGATTTCCTGAAATCATTATTAATACCAAATCATCCAATAATGTTGAAAGTTGTAAATAATATTACTGGGGAGATGGACGGTTCGATGAATTACCTTTCAGCTCATGACAGAGTCAATTATATAGAAGCCATAATAGAAATATCAATGTACTACTTGTTAGTAAAATTAATAAGGTTTTAAACATTTATCAAAAAAATCAAAAATTATCAAAAGATATTAACGATGATGAAAATAATAATTCACGTAAGAAAAATATGAATGTAAATTTGTTTATAGTATAGATGCATAAAGAACAAATGAACAATCATTTTGTTTATAATTTTATAATAGAATAGATAGTTCAAATAATAATAAAAAATATCTATTGTATATTCGCATACATTTTTTAGAAGGGGCATTTGCTGTATGGAAGAATTGGAAATTAAAAGACTTTTAGGTGAAAAGGATTCGGAAATATTTTGTTGACATTTTGGTGTAAAACCAAATGGTAATGTTGACCCAGCAAAAGATATTCAAGGTGAATTAAAAAATAAGGTAACAGTTTATCTATTTATTTGTTAATTTAACTGTCATTTCTTATCGGATTTTAATAATGTGATCTTATGGTGGTTGCAACGGCTTTAAAGATTTATAATTTATCTGTTAGTACATTTGAACAACACTATTAAATCATTAATAATGATTTATTCTTTTATTTTATTAAAAAAATAATCTACATATTCTAAATAAATAGAGGGAATAATAATTTAAATAAATTAAATTTTTAATAAAATAATAAATTCTAATTATAAAAGTTAAGATTAGCTCAAAATCATCATAACACTACCTCCCAATCTAAAAAATTAATTAATTAAAAGTTAAATAAAATTGATTTTTTTCAATTAATAATAATCAATATCATTATAATTATAAATACCTTGAGGAAGTACTTGAATGCTTGGCAGCAATCAACAAATCTTTTTTACCATCTCCATTAAAATCATATTTTATTATTTTACTTCCAAATCTTGTTTGTTGTTGTCGTCCATTTATGCATTCCTTAGGAATGACTTCAATACTCTCACTATGTAATAATGATGATAATGGTGGTGATGATGATGATACATTATTATCATTGTAAAATAATGATGGACTTATAGCATATTTATAAACTCTTCCTGATTCTGTAATTTGATCAGGAAAAATTGTACATTAATTTTTTTATTTTCCAAATATTAAACAAACTCGAATATTTATATTTACCCAAAAATGTAAATGGTTCCGAAACAAATAACAATCTATCAATTTCATCCCAATATACCGAACTACCAAGATGTGATGAACTTTCTGACCCATATTTGATCAATAATAACCCATTTCCAATTTTCATTACTTCATCAGATAGTAAAGCTCCTTGTTTAATATAATCCAAATCTAATAATCTCACTGCACCTGCTTGCCATATCTTGTAACCAGGAAACAGTCCATTATACGACTATTGTATATTGTAAATATATTTTGATTAATTTGCTATCAACCTAAATAAATATTAATAAAACATCATTCAATGATCATTTAATGGTACCTCTGATTTTGAAGTGATAAGAATGTAATTCTTTCCATTATTTAAGAAATTGCCTGAAATTATTAAACTATAAAAAAAAAATCATTATTGTTATTCTTCTCCTCATATTTATTTTTTAATATATATATATATATGTTTGGACGAATTACCTTCCAAATGCCTGGAATTCACTAGTCCCACTCAAATCAAATTTATCAAAAGATTTAATAATTTTGTTGGTAGTACTAATTATTTCAAATCCATATATTTTACCAACTGTTTGTTTCTTATTACCATACCCTGGTGCTCCAACTACAATTATGGAGTTACTATTATTATTAGGTGATTTAACTACTTCTATAGCTGATCCAAACCATTCATAAGCTTGCTTTTCTGGGCTAAGCTTTTGCCAATCATTATCATGTCTTGAAATGTTCCCTTGATGATTACTTGAACTTAAGAATGCAAAAATCGCTCCTATGTGTGAATGTGTATACTAATATGAAGTAAACATAAACATAATAATGTAAATAATGCAAACAAATGTATAAATTTAAATATAAACGTAAAAACATAAACATAAACATAAAATGTTACAAGTACCAAGTATGTTATATTATACATTCCACAGTGAGGACACCCAATTATTAAATCTTTATAACCATCATTATCAATATCACCAGATGCTAAAACATAACCAAATCCTTCAATTTGTAAATTATCTTTAACAGTATTTGATGAGGTACGAATTTGAATGTCTGGAACATCCGATAGCTTCTTTGCATCTTTACTCCCAAAATATATATAAACTTTACCAGTATATGCTAAATCTTTAGCACCAAAAGATGGTGCACCAACGGCCAAATCATCTATCCCATCTGAATTCATATCTACGACAGCCAATGACCACCCAAAACGTGATTCTGACATTAAATCATGTCCTTGTATAATTTGATCAGCTGTGTCAATAATATCATATGATAAAGTTTTTGGTGGTGATGATTGTTGATTGTTTCTTTTGCCGTAAAATATGAAAATTGCTCCCAAATGAATAGCAATTGGATCATTACTATAATAAGGTGCACTAATCACTATATATAACATAAAATATTTATTATCATTATATATTAATTAATTTTTACTTATAACAAAAAATATATGCGTATTACCTAAATCTTCAATACCATCACCATTAAAATCTCCAACTATCATATCATGACCAAAAGATGCATATGGATATAAAGAGTCCAATGTGATGATTTTCTCTGAATCATTTGGTAATGCTTTGCAAAGCAATTCTATATCAGGATTCTCCTTATTATTGGTGTTACTGCTACTACAAATATTACTGATAGGTGGTGATGGCATTTTTGATGATAATTGAGGAGTGTTTATTGTGGGTTTGAAATTAAAATTTATTTGATTATTATTTGCAGCATTTTGATTTATTATTTTAATTGTTGAATCTTCTCTTTCAATTGTATTTAAATGTTCTTTTTCTTGATGATGAAGAAGGTTATGATTATATCGAGTTTTCAAATGCCCTATACCATTCTCATCTTTATAAAAGTCAATTTCAAAACCATTAGCCTCAAGAATTTTTATTGCTTGAACATAAGTTAAACCATTATCCTTATTTTGCCAATTCTTCTTATTGTTATATCTTGGTTCTGTAAAAAAAGATTTTTTGAATGCATCACACAATGATGAATAATTTCCTGGACCATCTTCGAACCAATTTGATAAACCATTCCAACAATCATGAACATTAGCTGCCATATTATTAAGTCCTAATTTTACCAATGACAATAATAAAGTGTAAGTATAGTTTCACAAGTAATTAATATAATATTTCTAATTAGAAACAAGCATTTACCTCCACGATGATAATTTTCCAATTGTTCGATCAGAAATGGTGACTATACAATAACTAGATTTTGTAAATCTTCAAAATGATTATTACAAAAAAAGAAAAAGAAATAGAGAAGAAATTTCTATTATTATTATTATAATAATAATAATAATTTTAGATTATCTCACCTTCTCACCATAAGTTTGGAAAAAAAATTTTCCAAAACGCTATATAATGAAAAAAAAATTAATCAAATAAATATTACTTGTATAAGTAATACAAAAAAACAAATTATCCCCAGAAATTATTACTTTGTTGAATTCAGCAAAAGCATATGAACGTTTTATACAAAACTGAATTTGTGGTTCTGTCACAGTTTTACCCATTTTCTCGTAGATTGCAATTAAATCTTTGAAAGGAATCTCCCATTTCTAAATATATATATATATATATAATCGAAATTTAAATTTTAACATTAATATATAATAAATATCTCAATAGTTTTTTTTTTTAGATCCTTACACCTAAATAATCAATTTCTGACATATGTGAAAGTGTAAATTCACCACCATTATCAGCAGCTTGATGTGCATCATTATATACACCCCAGTAATTCATTTCTGCCATTGCATTTATAAATCCACTTTCCATCTCTAAACTATGCCATGATGTATCCGCTGCACCATGTGAAACGATTGCAAATAAAAATGCTATTATTTTCTGAATAATAAATAATGTGAATGAATATATTATAATGTGGATGTGAGTTATGTGGGTATTATGCGAATGAATGAATTAATTCTGATTACAAGTATACCTGAGCATTGACATCATTTTCCCAAGTTGAATTGTTATAATTTTCACGTATATATTCAGTGCTAGCTTTAACAAATGGTGGCCAATGTGCTTTTTTATTAATATTAAAAATTATTAAATTATTAATTATTAACTTTCTTGATAAAAAACAATTAATTGAATTTCTTGAATAAAAAAACAATAATTAATAGCTAATAAATACCATCTTCGGCAGCTTCATCATTTCCTAAGCAATTATATCCCCTGGTAATAGTGATGATATATATTAATGAAAATATATATTTATAACGGATATAAACATATTGAAATAACTACTTACCAATCGGGAAAAACTGAGCCACACTATAATAATACTATTATTAATATTAACAATGATAAATCTTTCCAATGAAATAAAGAAAAGAGAATTTACCTGTACAATTTCTTTATATTTTTTAAGGAATTGGGAATATTTGATACGAGAAGCTATTGTTGGCTTAAAAAATTCAATTGCTCTCACAGTAACCTCATTATGGACACTTAATCCACAACAATTTACCACTGTTATAAAAATTAATAAAG